AGTAGTAGTAGTAGTAGTAGTGGGTGATTGGTGATTGGTGATTAGTGCCTAGTGGTGAGTGGTGAGCGGTGAGTGGTGAGCGGCGAGTGGTGCGTGGTGAGTGGTAGGGGGTGTAATGGGTAAATGGTGAGTGGTGAGCAGTGGTTAGTGGTTGGAGTGGCAATGGGAGTGGTATTTGTAGTGGTACTGGTAGTGCTGGTGGAATTGGTACTGGGTGGTGCTGTGGTAGTGGTACTGTGGTAGTGGCATGGCAGTGGTAGTGGTAGTGGTCGTCTTCGTGTTCGTCGTGGTCGTGGTGGTAGTGGCAGTGGCAGTGGCAGTGGGAGTGGGAGCAGCAGCGGCAGCAGTAGCATGCAGTAGCGGTAGCGGTAGCGACAGTAGTACCAGCACCAGCAGCTGCAGTCACGTTACCAGGTGTAGGTAGTAATAGCTACATGACAACAGCAAGTCAATGCCAAGCCCGGTACCACCTGGCCATCACCGACGAGGGGTAGGGGCCTTGTTGGCGGCCAGCCGCATCTTTGTAGAACCAGTGACCTCAAAGCTGGTGTAGGGTTGCGGTCTAAAGGTCCTACGGCATCCTTTGCAGAAAGATTGGCATTGACGGTACTGCCGTGATGACATTATCATGCTGCCTTCGAGCTCAACCCAAAAGAAGCTCGCAAGCTTGATGATCCTTTCACTGTGAAAGCTCGCTGGCCCCACGAACTTTCAATTCCACATCCAGAACGAAGCCACCAATCTGCGATGTCCACTGTCTGCGTTACATTGTTGGGCTATGAGCTATACTTGAGGGATCTTGAGGTCTGAGGCAAGCTTACTAGGGACGGGCTCATGCGGGGAGACTGATCTGCAGAAAGGCACTCTGCTGTGTGCTGTGTGGTTCGTGCTTCCGACATTCTCTGCCTCGCACCACTTCCAAATGGCTAAAAGGCCATGGTATTGACGATTTTGATCGACACTAGGATTGTAGCACTCAAGGTTTAATCAGCATAAGGCGTCATCAACCTCTGGCATTTCCAGCGTTGAAACCAAAACATTGACACCAGGATTGTCCACCGCTCTGGAGATTGCATGGTTGCGGCATTTGGGATTCTAGTGAACAAGAGCCAGGATTTTCCCACATGCCAGTACGTTCAGGAGCATCACTCCGAGATGCTGGCGTTCCTCCACGGGTGCTGCCTGTGCCCAAGGAGCACTTGAGGTTGAAAATTCAGTGGCTCGAACCTCCAATGGATTTTTGACTCTAGGCCTCCTCAACTGAAGGTGCAGATGCCGCCTGGAGCAAAGACACACGACAAAAGCCTATTCCAATAGTCTCGTACAATGCCCGAACCTCGAACCTCAGCCGATTCTGTGCCCACGGCCAACCGGAGCGACCGTGCTTTCACTCTGCGGTCGTTGGCGCTCGCTCAATCTTGCTTGATCTTGCTTGCTTGCCTGCTGCAGGCCACCAGGGTCCCCCGCCGTGGCAGGAATTCCACACGCAAGTTCGCACAACCAGTTCCTTGTTCTTACCTGCCGGCTCAGCAGGACATAGATGCCCCAGGAATTCTTTCACCCGAGTTCCCCCGGCTGTGTCAGAAGGTCGTCGAAGTCGTCGTCTTGGCTGCTTTGCGTCGCCTTTTGCCCCTTTCTGTTTCTGGGGTTTGGCAGCTTGAAGTCGACATGGGAGCAGCGGCCTTTCTTCCACTCGCGTCCTCTGCACCGATCAACTGCCCAAGATGCATTCAATGGGGTCGTGTGAAGATGGTCACCTCCCCCATCCTGTGCTGGTTCTCCACCTCTTCCCGTCCAGGTTCTTGGTAACGTGGAGGTACAGCAGCATCATTTTTAGTCAAGTTCTCCACCGCTTCGCTTGGAATTTTCCAACCTGCAACGTCTGCATAGCCGCGTCTGTACATAGGTACGGCTGTAAGGCCGTGGAGAGC